TTTAATTAACGTTTCCCAGTTGATACAGTAGTTTTAATTAATGTTTTTCAGCTGATCCAGTAGTTTTAATTAACGTTTCCCAGTTGATACAGTAGTTTTAATTAATGTTTCCTAGCTGATCCAGTAGTTTTAATTAACGTTTCCCAGTTGTTTGGTAAATGTTTTCCAGTTGATATGTTGCGGCTAGAACATTATATAATGGGGTAGAATATATATGTTCTGTCCAGGTATCCCATTATCTCCATAACAGATAATATGTTATTCTTAACCTTACTGGATTCTCCATTGTTAGTTGTGTACTGTGTTATTCTTGGTCTTACTGGATTCCCCATAACTAGTGATATATTGTGTTATTCTCTGTCTAACAAGATTCTCCATAGCTAGTGATATATATAGTGTTACTCTCGGTATTACTAGATGATATTCCCCATAGCTTTTGGTGTATTGCGTTATTCTCTGTCCAACTGGATTCCCCATAGCTAGTGTTATCGTCAGATAACACTACCGTGTGCATGAGAAACTCTTTATCTTAAGTTTTCATGAACATTTTTGATTTTACGTTTAAGAAGTAGGCCTATCTCATCCATCGTGTAATTTATCTTATTCCTTGCTTAAAAATCCATACCAGCTGGAATAAAATCTTCTGTATCGTATTTAAAGACGAGCCTTATTTTGTTTCCCCTGCTTTATTTATTTATTTTTATCATGTTAGTTCATTGATTCACATAAAGTTTCAAATTTGTATTTAATATTTTTGCAAATAAAAGTTGGTGAACTGAAATTATAGAGATTTAGTGTTGATGAACAATGTTATATGTTTGTTTATCTTGAAAAAAAAAAACATTCAAAAATTATAAAAATAGCATTTTACTGTATAAAAGCATTTCTTGCAAAAAAAAATTAGAATATAAAAAAGACACGTATTCGTTATAAATACACTATACAGTTTCCAGGGCATCAGCCAAGTGAAATAACTTACAAGTAAAACAGCAAAACATTCGGTCAGTACAACTGCCAGTAAACAAAAAAATGGAAGACTTAACTATGTCGTTACATCAGAAACATTAAACAATCCCTTGACGTAAAAATACTCAGAACTGGATTACTTCTTTGTTTAGTATTTAAAGTAAACTCCCAGTCCTTGAAATTTAGAAAATACATTTAAAATTATTGCGAGAAAGGACATGGATAATAAATATTAACACTTAACAACGAAATCATTGTCTTTTTAGGTTCCACAAAATAATTCTTTTTTTGGCCTAAAATATGTTTACAGTTTGGCCTTTTTAAGACTGGCTATCGTGCAACTTCATTATATGTTCTTAAGAAAACTTCCAAGAAAAGATGGACCCTGGATAATTTTGGAAATTACTTGAAACAAACGTTTTTTGAAATCTGTATTTGAAAATAAGAGATTTATAAATCAAATTCTTTGAATTTTTAGATATAAGCCTTGATGTAGATAGCATCGCTGATACCATAATAAAAATTCTCGTTAACATCGAGAATCTATTATTCAGGTCTTTGGTACATGTAAACACATATACAACATCATGTAAACACATATCAGTTCAAAAATGGAGCTTTTATTCAAACTTTCTGCACTGTGCTGCTTTTTTTAGTAACCCTAACTCACCGGCGTTTCAGTGGCCTTATAACGCTAAAAATAGATTTCGATACCTACGGTGGGCAGAGCACTGATAATCTATTGTGTAGCTTTGTACTTTACAACCAGCAAGTAACTCCAAACTGAAAATGAAATAGCTAACAATTGCACCTGTCATCCTAAAGCAAGCGTTAAGTAGATAGGTATAGAAAACGTGTTGAATTTTAACTCCAGAGCTTAAAGATAAAAAAAGTACCTGTAGAGGTCGTGAATGTAACAAAAAGCCACTATTTTAACGAAATAAACGTGTCCAAATAAAACAGTTTCAGTTAGAAAAATATAACGTAGAAACTCGCACGTCAGACTTATTCCTTACCTACGTCGTTTACTAGGTGACTGTTTTTGTTTGTTTTTTTCTATCGCAAAGCTACACTGTTTACCGCATGGAACCGAACCCCAGATTTGTAACTCCAGAAATTTACCGCTTATCCACTGGAGGAGGGGGGACATTTATCGAGTAAATATCGAATTGTCTTTTGTGTCACATAAATTTTATTTGCACAAAATAAATTTTGTGAAAAGTTGGAAACATTTTAAGATAAAGTGTTTCATAGGAATTTTCTTTTATCTTAAGAACAAAGAAGATAATTAGAAATACTAACAGAACAAACTGGCTATTATCACCTCAGACTTACCGCTAAGCCACTCGGTACACTGATAAACCAATTCAAACACTGAGATAGTCAATAAAGACCTCTTAGAGGCTTCTGAAGACAAACTGATAACTAGTAGGCTTATGTGGAACAGTACTAAAGGATTAAATTTTTGTTAATTTTTCAAACCAATCTCTTTGTGTTGATATCTTAAATGAAAATAGAATACAGATTGTTACAATGATAAATAGTTTTATTAACTTAATAACGCTAAAGAGTGTTGTCACTTTTTATTTTAAACAAATATTTTTGAATATTATTATTATCAAATTATTCACTAGATAGCGCTACTAAGCGCCTATAAAATGTTATGTAGACTTTTTACAACTTCTTTTATGACGAATTTTATGTTCGAAAAGAACCAAAAATGCAATAAACAATTGAAGAACATTCGACAAAAATAAAAAAAACAACTTTTCTTAGATGGTTATTTTTTTTGCCATTCCTGTCTCGCTCTTCAATCTTCAGTTCTCAAGAAATACATCTTGTTGCTTTTCATTAAGTATAAACACGCCATTTTTGGACACATATCATACACATTGTTTCTTTACACCTCACTGTCAGTGTTAGAGATTTATCATCCAAACTTGCCGTTTTCAAATATTTCAAGTTTTTCTTGTTTTTTTTTTAATTGTTTGAAGGCTCAGAAGACGGATCACAATTTTGGTAAATATCGTGAGTAGGACTAGCTCGTAGCTTCCTGTCGTAGAAGAAAGAGTAAAAATTGGATCGTGTTTCGATAACCCTGTTTATGATTTCTATCACTAGGCAGAAATAATCATGCTATTTTAACACACTTAACTATCAGAAGAAGCCACAGCATCCGCAGAAGACTTGGTATAACTTTCTTACAGGAATTAACAGAATGGCCTTGGTTTGGTTGTCCTGCCAATAAATAAGTTTTAGTTCATATTAAATCTCAGGAAAAGTGGTTTGTAAATTTTAGTTAAAAGTTTTTCATTATTTTAAATCTACGTTCGAGCCAATTCTTGATGACAAAATTTACAAAATGTTAGCTATTTTATTCTAATTAAAAACAGACAAACAATTTAAAAAACTAAAAAATACATAAACCCTTCATATTCAACAATACAACCAGCCTCATCCACTTACAGTAACACACTTCATATTCAACAATACAACTACCCTCATCCACTTACAGTAGCACACTTCATATTCAACAATACAACTACCCTCATCCACTTACAGTAGCACACTTCATATTGAACAATACAACTAGCCTCATCTACTTACAGTAGCACACTTCATATTCAACAATACAACTAGCCTCATCCACTTACAGTAACACAGACACTTAAAACGTCGTCTTCAAACTAGTGACGGTGGACGAGAATTGTTATATTATCTAAATATTATATTACATTATCCTATTTTAAATGAGGCCCATATCAAAGAAGAGGTCTTTAGCTTCTCATCTAATAACGTAACAATGGAAAGTTTAAATACTTAGACTTAAGTAACTGTAAGGAAAGGGAAAACTCCAACTTAACGAGTGACCATTCCTTGCACGGCCAATCCCTTTGTATTTTATATAAAAGTAAAGCCATTCAACTAGAGTTAAACAACTCTATTACCCGCTTCGGACTTCCTCGGTGGAGTAGTAGGCTGACCGTTATCACCACTAGAGGGCGCTATGTCTTGTGAGGGTGGGGTCAGCGCTGGTCTCCACTGTGTCCTGACAGGTATAAATGTTACTGGGACTTGTGGACAAGATACTGGAAAATACAAATATTATTCAGGTTACTATAAATCAGAAAACTGTGTCGCTTTCAGACGTTAAAAACACTGTCCGTCTACACCATAAACCACTGTCAATAAAATATTGTCGCTTTCAGACGTTAAAAACACTGTCCGTTTACACCATAAATCACTGTCAATAAAATATGTCGCTTTCAGACGTTAAAAACACTGTCCGTCTACACCATAAACCACTGTCAATAAAATATCGTCGCTTTCAGTCGTTAAAAACACTGTCCGTCTACACCATAAACCACTGTCAATAAAATATCGTCGCTTTCAGTCGTTAAAAACACTGTCCGTCTACACCATAAACCACTGTCAATAAAATATTGTCGCTTTCAGACGTTAAAAACACTGTCCGTCTACACCATAAACCACTGTCAATAAAATATTGTCGCTTTCAGAACTAAAACATTGTCACATCTATGTCACGAGGTATTGTCGCTCATAGGTCATACAAAAAAACCGTCGCTTACAAGTTTTCTGTCTAAAAACCAATCCCAGTGATTCCCAGTTCTTATTTTATCTTTTTAGCGCTCGTCGTTTTAAATTATATTTTTACTATTACCAGATGAAACTTTTGTTTGTTTGTTGAATTTCGCGCCAAACTACTCAAAAGGCTGTCTGCGCTATTCGTCCCTAATTTTGATGTGATAGACTAGAGGAAAGTCAACACCTTTCCCACCCAACCCTTAGGCTACTCTTTAACCAACGAATAGTTGGAGTGCCACCCTCACGGCTGAAAGAGCAAGTACGTTCGGCTACAGGATTCGAACCTTGTCAAGCTCAAATTGCAATAATCCTTGTGGAAGTTTTAAAACTGTACATTTTGACTATTTGGTGACAACTTGGTAATTCGGTGATTAATTAATAACCAAATTATTAATTCAATTTTTTTTTTATATTCAGGTGGTTGTTGGAGGTGC